TTTAGCACTTTCCTCTTTTGTTCATGAAGCTTTTCATCTCAAAATAGACTAGTCTAGTTTTATCTTAATCTGCACTTCAGTAATTGCAAAGCCTATTGTTATAGAAGTGCTTTTTCTTAATGCTTAATGTTCTGTTTTAACATACATATAGAGAGTCACTATGCACTCATATTTTAAAGGGAAATGGCTTTATTTATTTATTTTGAAGTGGTAGCATCATTTAAAAGTGGTATAAGAATCAGAGCAGTATGAGAAATATATTAGCATAGACTTTGGCTCTCTTAAGCCCAGAGACCTATTGGGGCCTGACCCAAAGAAAGTTGATTTCCAGTCGGTTGGGCAATCTGAGCTTTCCAGTGTCACCACTGAGATGGCCTCCCTCTAAAGAGCAGCAGTTCCTTTTCAGATTGTGGATCTACTGATAAGCTCTGCCATTTTCATTTCATTTCCTGAAAGTCAGGGTCGGCTTGTGGAAAGTTGTTACACAACATGCTCAATGTGAAATGTCAGCCCTCACTCTAAACTTTCCCTAGTCACAGCATCAGATGAAGACTTCACTGGGTTTTGTGGTGGCTTTCTGATTTTGGTAGCTCATTGAAGAAAGGAGTTTGAAAATTGTATGTTGTTAATGATTGTCTGCCATATCCTGCCTGAAATACCATGATTGTTTATGAACAGTATCTTTAATAAAGCCGGATGCAGTTTGAAAAAAGAAGTAGTATAAGAAATATGATCTACTACATTTATTTTCCCTGTGCAGTATGAAGCTTCCCAGTGCAATATAAAGCTATTGATGGAGCAACAAAAACATATACTTCAATTTTGGTTTATGTTATATTTTTAAAAAGGCACTGTAGCTAGAAGACAGGAGCATTGGTGTCTAATCTTAGCTCTATCACATTCACCTAGTGACTTCAGACATCTCTGCTTTGTTTCCTATTCCTAATAGAAACAAGCTTCTTATAAGAATGTCATTAAAAAGCTCAAAAATCAGGTGTAAAATACCCTTACAATTCATGTACAGTTTTCAGAATAGGAAATTAGAAAAATCTTTATTAAAGGGAATAAATACTCAGCAGTAGAACTGTTTCTCCAGTTCTAGTATACAACTTGAGTTTTCCGTGAGTCATAAAACAGTTTGATTAGATCATTCTGCAGAAAAAAATGGATTACTAATTTAATTTCATAAATGTATATTGGTTATTTAAATCAGAATGATTTATTCCTCATTAGTCAGCTTTATGTGAAAATTTCAGTAAGATACCATTAAAGCATATGATGCCAAATTATAATTTTTTGTGTGTAATTTCAGATAAATTTAGAAAAAGCAAGGCCCCTCAAAAGACTTTCATCACAAAAATAAATTATTTCAGAGTATTTTAGTAACATAAATTTATTTTGTGTTGTGGCATTTTATATGAAACATAACTCAAACCCTCCTTTCACATTTTAACTTGAACAAACAGCATAATATTTATAGGAAATGATACACATTAAATAATACCTAGATTATAACAAATATCTTATATGAGATTTGAAAGAGAAAGTGAAGATTACTCACCACACAATGTCTTAGGATAATACCTTTCAGGTATATTAGTAGCTGGTACTCTCTTAAAGTTGAGTAACTTTAGAAAGCTGATGAATTGGATTATAGACACTTAAGGGTGACTTTTATATGTAGGTCTTCCTCTCAGCAAGAGAAGCTTTTATGTTGTTACAGATGATATCACTCCCAATTTTCTGTATCACAAGTATAGGACAGAACAACAGACAACCCCATTGGGTGGTGCCCATTCTTTTTAAGATTTAGATAATTATATATTAACAGGTACACAGTACGGAGCTGGGAAAAAGAATTATGCACAGATTTCTAACAAATATTAAATGCAATTCTGAGTTCTGACTGGGTTCATGAATTTGTATTGTTAAAAAAATGATTTCAGTGATTTATGGTGAAGTCATCATTTTAAGTATAACATCATCATTGAACATAAAAACTGAAAATAAGCATATGTCTATAACCATATTATTGATACAGTTATTATGAGGATTAAAATGAATCATGTTATGTTATTCATACTTTACAAGCCATTTTCAACTTCCACATCAGTCCTGGTCATCTTTTAAAATAATAGATATAGTGCTTTTCTTAAAGGTGTTAAAAATACTTTGAGAAAATGCTCTTAGTATACAATGAATTTTAAGGGCTTCGAAAGTGAAATAATTTAAACCCTTATATAACTTGCATTTTGTTCATGCATTTAATTTGCAATAATAAAACATTTGATAAGCACTAACTATATGTAGACTTTACATATATTATTCCACCTAGTTTTCCTAGCAATCCTTTCAATAAATACAATCATTAGCCCCATTTTCACAGGAGGAGGAGCTTTGGAAAGTAAAGAAAATGGAATTCAAAATAGGTTTTTATGCCTCCAGAGTCATTTTTATTCTTACTCTCTCACTTTCCCCCTAGAAACTAACAGATCTCCCTTCTTTGAACTCCAGTCTTCGTGACTTTCATTTGCCTCGCTCTTTGCAGCTGCTTTGCTCACATCTGGATTCTTGTGTTCCCCACCTGATGATGGAAGACCTGCTCCAAAACCTAATGGAGGCATAATGCTGCCACCTATCTGATTTCAAATATGGCCACACCCTGGTCTCCCTCTATTCCATCAAGGCCCTTTGAATGCTCTTGGTGTACCTAGGATTCATTTAAGCAGCTTATCCCCCAGCTAAAGTCCCAGAATTCACTCAGTTCTCTTAGCTCTGGTCCTATCCAGGCTTCATGTTATCCCTTTTTCTCCTAACCATTGCCAAGGTGAGACTTACACCATGTAAAGAGCCAGTCCAAGCTTGAATAGTACCTGAATGAGAGAGATCTGTTAGTCCTGCTCTGGGGAGCCCTCTACAGTAGGCAAATATCACTTAATTCCAGAAGTGTTAGTGACAGACTGCAATGTGTCTGCAGATATGAACCAGGTTGATAAACATGTTGGAAAACATGACATGTGAGAAGCAGTTGAGTGAAACTGGAAAACAAAAGAAATGGCAATGAAAAGAAAGGAAAGGAAAGGAAAGAAAAGGAAAGGAAAGGAAAGGAAAGGAAAGGAAAGGAAAGGAAAGGAAATAAAAGTGAAAGGAGAAGAGAATAATGATAAATATAATAAGGAGGCCAGGAGGAAGATGGATGTGATTGAGGAAGGGCTAACAAGGAATTTCTAAGATACTGGCAATATTCTGTTTCATAATCTCAGTAGTGAGTAATGAAGTTCACTTTTCATATATTTTTTTGAAAATTTACATTTATGTTTTATTGATGCTTTTGTATATCTCTATATACAAAGGCTAATATGCAAAGTGTCCCTTGGGAGTTTGACAAAGAGACTGGGAGTTTGATCGCTTACTATGATGTGTGCTGACCACCAGGGGGCGGCACGGAATGAAGAAAGGCACCAGCTAGCAACTGGTGAAGGAAGGCCCCAGGGGGAAACACAAAGGCCCTGTTCGGCTCTGATCACTGGCCAGGCATAAGGACTCTACCAGTGCACATATGTCATGCACCAGGCCTCCAGTACAATAATAAAAGTAAAGGACTTCTAGTCAAGATGGTGGCATAGGTAAATGTGGTACCCAATCCTCCCATAAACACATCAAAATTACAACTGAACTAAAATTACAGAACAACCATCATTCTGAAATCTAGCTGACTGAGAGTCCTATAACTAAAGAATTTAAGAGGAAGCCTCATAGAGACTGGTAGGAGGGGCGGAGACACAGAACTCCTGTGTGGTGGATAAAAATCAGGAGGGATATCTTGGTTGTGAAGCCCCCCCTTGAGGAATGAAGGAGTCATAGCCCCACATCAGGCCTCCTAAACAGAGTTCCAGTACCAGGGAGAGAAGTCCCCATAACTTCTTGCTGTAAAAACTTGTGGGGATTGTGGCTGCTGAGACCATCTGGGCACAGGTCACATTTTAACTGTATATGTGGCTATGGTATTGGACAGCACAGAACACAGAACATTTCCATCATTACAGACAGTTGTATTGGACAGTATTGACCTAAGTAGATCAGGGATGTGTATTTTATAGACCTGAAGTATCTTGTGCTTTTCTTTTAGAGCACTTATCAAAGTTATTAATGAATTAATGTCTGTCTTCCATACTAAATTATTGGCCCCATGAAGACAGGAACCATATCTATTTTGCTTGCTGGTGTATGTCCAGTGCCTAATACTGTACATGGCAAGTAGTGGGCCCTAAATAGACATGTGTCAAAGGACAAATAATGAAATTATATTCTAAAACATACAAGAACTCTAGTCCATGGAATTTGGGGTTCAGACTAGAAATATGATCAGTAGGTTTGTGCATAGGCAAATGCTTTTGTATTCAAGTTTCAGATCACTTTCTTCTTTTCTGACTATTTCATTATCTTTTCTGAAATGAAGAGGACAAAAGTATCTAGCTACTAAGATTTGGGGACCTGGTACTTTGATAATATTACTAAAAGGATGATGTTCAACATATAATCATTTCACAATATATGTAAATCAAACCATCATGTTGTACACCTTTAACTTATATAGTGATGTATGTCTATTATTTTTCAATAAAACTGGAAATAAAACCATTTTATGTTGTTCTTCCTAGTCATGATCCATTTATTTACACATGTTGGTATTACTTATAACCAAAATGATATTCTTATAACAAGTGAAAAATACTTAACATCACTTTTTTAGAATTATGATCATTAATTTTTTATTTTGCATTGTAAGATGAGAGAGAGGTTAAAGCGTGCAATTTTATTCTTTTATAAATTATGCAATACATACTTTAAAAAGAATAAGCAGCCCTCCTGGCACAGACAGAGAATAATTAAAAGACTCTTGAATAAAAATAAAATCAAAGTAATCAATTAAATGATAGCTATCATGGCTAGCAATGAATTACATGTAAAGTTTGATCATATTAGAAATATTGGTGCTTGGTAATCATAATAGAGGGTGGAAACATTAGCAGCATGTAAATAGTGTTGCCCTCCTAGAGGCTGACTGGAGCAGTGCTCTGATAGATGTGTTTTCACTGGGATTTAACCTTAGTTAATACATCCACATCAGCTTTGTCTGCTTCTGCAAGGCGTTTTTGATGGCTCTCAAACAGGACATTGTCTTCCTTTCTTAGAGACCTCCTGGAAACATCATCCTTGGGAACCATAGCACCTGCCGTGTTCACTTCCTGCAGCAACTTCTGTAGCCACTCCTGCCTTTCCTTCTTGTTCAGATATTGACGCCGGTCATTCATAAGCTGTATTTCACCTACAGTTTTCTTCCTGTAGGGAACAGAAACAGAGAAGCCACTCCATTAGCTCTCTTCTTCCCATCATAAAGGCAGTCCTAAAAATCCAATCCCCAAGTCCTAGCCCTGCCGAACAAGAAACAGTACTTACTGCAGGGTTTTCCCATCCGATTTTGCGAAAAAACAAATTGCACACAGGACGATCATTATTTTAACCATTTCTTTTGCAGACATCATCTTCAATAAAAAGGAAAAGCAAATGTCAGGTATTTGAAAAATGTTTTTACTATTCCACACTCTATAATTAACTTTAGCAGTTTACATTTATAATTACACAACTGTACACAGAGTGGTACAGCAACTAATTGGTTTTCAGGGAGGACTTTTGGAATCAGCTCTTTATTTTTTTGTTTTTAAATATATTTTTATTGATTTCAGAAAGGAAGGGAGTGGAAGAGAGAGATAGAAACATCAATGATGAGAGAGAATCATTGATAGGTTGCCTCATGCATGCCTTCTACTGGGGGTTGAGCCCGCAACCCAGGCATGTGCCTTTAACTGCATTCAAACCCAGGACCCTTCGGTCTGCCGGCCGACATCTATCCACTGAGCCAAACAGGTAGGGCCAACCTTTTTATTTTACAGATGCATTAGTATGTATTATATGTACACATAATTTGACTTAGAAATTAGATTAGTTTTAGTTTCTAGGTAAATGAGTTTTATATTTTAGGGATCTTTTTGAGAGTTCTTGTGCAAGTTTAATATATGAATTTTAAGCCACATGAGGAATGAAAATGCTTACTTTTTAGAATTTTCTCCTACATTTATGCTGCTTATGACTAAGTTCTTATAATTTGTTTGGAAAATGGATTATTCTCTTACTTAGGTAAATTATTAACACGTTTATTTACTTAGAAAATTTATTTTTCATAAGTCAACGTCATTTCAGGCACTGCAATAATAACCATAAGTACCAAATTAATAGTCTCTGATTTAGAGATACTTTTACTAAATTAATGCATACTTTTACCATTTAAAAATGTGTCAAAGTATTATTTAAAATCATCTAGTTAATTATAAGAATTTAGAGCTTTGGCTTCATATAAAAAGCTTGTTTCTTTTTTCAGCTTTTCTTAAAACTATCCTGTCTGAGTGTAATTTTTAGAACTTTCCTCTTTTGTTCATGAAGCTTTTCATCTCAAAATAGACTAGTCTTATCTTAATCTGCACTTCAGTAATTGCAAAGCCTATTGTTATAGAAGTGCTTTTTCTTAATGCTTAATGTTCTCTGTTTTAACATACATATAGAGTCACTATGCACTCATATTTTAAAGGGAAATGGCTTTATTTATTTTTGAAGTGGTAGCATCATATTGAAGTAGTATAAGAAATAGAGCTATATGAGGAGGCGCGATCAAACCAGGACCCAGCAAAGCCCGCAGGGAGCTGCACCCCCGTGTCCTGGTCGGACCTCCCTCCACCATCATCATCATGCACAAGAGAAAGGTGAAGGGGATGCTAAAGGAGATAAAGCCAAGGTGAAGAATGAACCACAGAGAAGATCCGCCAGGTTATCAGCTAAACCCGCTCCGCCAAAGCCAGAGCCCAAGTCTAAAAAGGCCCCTGCAAAGAAGGGAGAGAAGGTACCGAAAGGGAAAAGGGAAAGCTGATGCTGGCAAAGATGGGAATAGCCCTGCAGAAAATGGAGATGCCAAGCAGACCAGGCACAGAAAGCTGAAGGTGCTGGAGATGTCATGTGAACTGTGTGCATTTTTGATAGCTGTGTATTTCTGGTGACTGTACAGTCTGAAATACTATTTTTTATCAAGTTTTATAAAAGTGCAGAATTTTGTTTTATTTTTTTTTAAGCTATGTTGTTAGCACACAGAACACTTCTTTATTTTTGGGGGGAAGGACATATAGTCCTAATAGAATGTCTCCAAAGCTGGACTGACATGAAGGGAGATACCTTTCCCTTCTAGTTTTGAGAAACTTCCTCTTGGTTCCTGGGAGCAGGGATCTCTTGATGTTGGCACACATTAGCCATCTTGGCACAAACACCTTATTGTGTGGGAAACTAAAATTTGTTTTTCTGTCCTTTTCTTCCTCTCCAATTTAAGCATAGACTTTGGCTCTCTTAAGCCCAGAGACCTATTGGGGCCTGACCCAAAATAATTGACTTCCAGTATATTGGGCCATCTGAGCTTTCCAGTGTCACCACTGAGATGGCCTCCCTCTAAAGAGCAGCAGTTCCTTTTCAGATTGTGGATCTACAGATTGATGTTCTCTGCCATTTTCACTTCATTTCCTGAAAGTCAGGGTCGGCTTGTGGAAAGTTGTTACACAACATGCTCAATGTGAAATGTCAGCCCTCACTCTAAACTTTCCCTATTCACAGCATCAGATGAAGACTTCACTGGGTTTTGTGGTGGTTTTCTAATTTTGGTAGTTCATTGAAGAAGGGAGTTTGAAAGTTGTATACTGTTAACGATTGTCTGCCCATATCCTGCCTGAAATACCCTGATTGTTTATGAAAAGTATCTTTAATAAAGCTGGATTCAGTTTGGAAAAAAAAGTCGTTTTAAGAAATATAATCTACTACATTTGTTTTCACTGTGCGATATAAAGCTCCCTGTGCAATATAAAGCTATTGATGGAGCAATAAATACATATACTTTGATTTTGCTTTATGTTATTTTTAAAAAGGCACTGTAGCTAGAAGACAGGAGCATTGATGTCTAATCTTAGCTCTATCACATTCACCTAGTGACTTCAGACATCTCTGCTTTGTTTCCTATTCCTAATAGAGACAAGCTTCTTACAAGAATGTCATGAAAAAGCTCAAAAATTGGCTTTTTACAATTTATGTACAGTTTTCAGAATAGAAAGTGAAAAAAATCTTTATTAAAGGGAATAAATATTCAGCAGTAAAACTGTTTCTCCAGCTCTAGTATACAACTTGAGGTCTCTGTGAGTCATAAAACAAACAGTTTGATGAGGATATTCTGCAGGAAAAATAGACCACTAACTTAATTTCATAAATGTATATTTGTTATTTAAATCAGAATGTTTTATTCCTCATTAGTCTGCTTTATTTGAAAATTTCAGTAAGATACCATTAAAGCATATGATGCCAAATTATAATTTTTTGTGTGTAATTTCAGATAAATTTAGAAAAAGCAAGGCCCCTCAAAAGACTTTCATCACAAAAATAAATGATTTCAGAGTATTTTAGACACATAAATTTATTTTGTGTTGTGGAATTTTATATTAAACACTAGTGACCCTGTGCAGAAAATTTGTGCACATTTAAAGGGAATTAATTAGAGGAAATATTTTAATATTGCTATTTTTTCTTTCAGTCGTGACATTACGGTGTCCCTGCTAATTTCCATATTCTTCTATTATATAGATAGAGCTCTCCTTTCACATTGTAACGTGAACAAATAGCATTTTATTTGTAGAAAATGATGCACATCAAATAATACCTAGATTATAAAAAATATTTTATATGAGATTTAAAAGATAAAGATTACTCACCACACAATGTCTTAGGACAATATCTTTTAGGTATATTAGCAGCTGGTGCTCTCTTAAAGTTGAGTAAACTTGAGAAAGCTGATGAATTGGATTGTAGATGCTTACGGGTGACTTATATGTAGGTCTTCCTCTCAGCAAAAGAAGCTTTTATGTTGTTACAGATGATATCACTTCCAATTCTCTGGATCACAACTATAAGACCAGAACAACAGACAACCCGATTGGATGATGCCCATTCCTCTTAAGATTTAGATCATTAGATATTAACAGTAACATAGTATGGGGCTGGGAAAAAGAATTATGCAAAGATTTCTAACAAATATTAAATGGCAAGTCTGAATTCTGACTGGGTTAATGAATTTGTATTATTAAAAAAGACTGATTTCTTTTTTTCATTATTTAAAGAATACTTCATTAGTTTCTGTAATCAAACCCATGTAGATTAAGACCTTACATATTTTATACAGTGCGCTACCCCTGTACAAATGGAAAAAATTATGTTTAAAGTTTCTAGACCAATATGGCTGTTAATCTCTGTACAATGCCAAATCAACACAGTACAACTGGGATAGTTTTTCCAAAGTTGACAGCACAGCTAAAGTTTCCAAAAATTCAAATTATATATATGTATGTATGTGTATATCTGTGTGTGTGTGTATATATATATATGTGTGAAATGTGATGGATGCCAGGTGGAGTAGTGTACTATTGCTGCTTAGTGTTTGAAGTTGGCATGACTATAGTGACCAGTCCTTCTGCCAGCTATTCAGCAGTTTGGTCAATTTGCATATTAGGCTTTTATTATATAGGATAAAAAGGCCAATAGCAGTATGTTATGCATCAATAGCAGCAACAGCTTTTCCAAGTTCTGTAGTCATCTGAACAAAATTATAGACATCCAGCACACTCCAATAATAATAATAAAAAAAGAAGTAAAATACAAATCTCCAGAAAAAAGCAAAGTTCTGTTACTGTTGTGGTTCCTGGCACCATTTTTTTTTAAGCTTCTCCATCATCATCTAGAAAGAAAACATTCTAGGATAATGTCATTAAAAACAGCTCTGATAAAGCACGGTCACTACTACGTATCATAAAGCAGGTACAAGGTATTTTACATTCACAGAGGTATGATATGGTACTGCCCTACGTCTATAATACTAGAGATACAGTTAAAAAGGCATTGTTTGAGACTTGATTCTGTTTTCCCAGCAGAGGCCCCAAGGGTGGGAGACGCACGTTCTCAGACAGGTTTTCCTCTCATTAGTGGCACAGTTCTAGGTACGGACTGCTCTTCATGAATATCACCTAAAAACCGTTTCAGAAAGACCAAAATGAACAAACAAAAACAATGTCATGGCTAGCAGTGGATTACATGTAAAGTTTGGTAATATTAGAAATATTGGTACTTGGTAATCATAATAGAGGGTGGAAACATTAACAGCCGGTAAATATTGATGCCCTAGGGCTAGGCTGTCTGGAGCAGTGCTCGGATATAAGTGTTTTCACTGGGGATTTAGCCTTAGTTAATGCGTCCACATCAGCTTTGTCTACTTCTGCAAGGCGTTTTTGATGGCTCTCAAACAGGACATTGTCTTCCTTTCTTCAGGATCTCTGGGAAACATCATCCTTGGGAACTATAGAACCTGCTGTGTTCACTTCCTGCAGCATCATCAGTAGCCAATCCTGCCTTTCCT